TGTGTTTGCGCACACTTGTGCACGCATATAGCCATAACCATGGCCCACTAGGGAGATGCCTTCTCTCTCTCTGGGATAAATGAATGAATGATTGCAGTAGTAGTAGTAGTAGTTACTGGGCACACACTGTGGCCTAGTGGTTTAGGGAGCATGAACCCATATGGCTGACCAAGCAGTTTGAATTCTAGCCCTGGCAGCTTGAAAACCACACTAGGCTTTTGTGCACTTGTGTCCCCAAACCTTGACAGAATGAGAAATGGAGGAGAAGGGATTATGGCTTGACCTCGCCCCATGGGTGCCTTCTCCCTCTCCCTCTCTGTCTTTCTCTGGTGAGTTCACATACCCTCTGGCTAGTCTTTTTGTTTATTTGTTTGTTTGTTTGTTTAAGAGTGGAAACTTAATCTTTAACTATGGCTTGAAGAGTTGGGGCTTTTGGAAAGTGATTAGGATTAAGGCCATCAGGGTGGGGCCCCAATGACTACATCTTGGTGAGTTTCTAAGGGGAAGGAATGAGACAGGTATGATCTGCTCTGCTGTGCTCCACTCCGCTCTGCTCAAGCTCTGGCTGTGCGATGCCTGGCAGTAAACATGCTATTCTTATAAATCACCCAGATTCAGGCATTTCTTTTTTTTTTTTTTTTTGGAGAGGTTTTTGCTATAGGGCGCGCGTGCTTGCCAGCCAGCCAGAGAGAGACAGAGAGACAGAAAGCAAGAAATCACCCCCCAGGGGGATGGCCATGCCTCAATCCCCTCTCCTCCGTTCTCCTCTCAGAATCTTGGGCACGATGCACACATGCCCGGCGTGAGTTTAAGCTGCTCGGTCTGGGACTCGAACCGCGGTTGACTACATGGGAGTCCAGCGACATAGCCGTTATGCTAACTGCTGGTCCCCAGGCATTTCTTTTATTAGCAACACAACAGACTAATATGACCTGCACTCTCTCTCTCTCTCTCTCTCTCTCTCTCACACACACACACACACACACACACACACACACACAAAGGTGTTCTTGAACCTTCAAAGGGCCAAGCTGCAGAAGCACTGGCAATGAAGTCAGGTTCAAGCCCTGATCTGTTCCTGTGAGACGGACCAAAATGGCAGCGCCTCGGGTTCAGGTTCAGCTTATAGCTCCCCTATATACTGACCTTGCAGCCTGGCCTCTCAGAGCCATCCTTAAAATGGGAATGTTAATACAGTAGTCCTCCATTATCTGCAGTTTCATTTTCCACAGTTTCAGTCACCCATGGTCAATCATGGTCCAAACATATTAAATGAAACATTCCAGTAGTAATTCATAATTTTGAAATTGCCGTTCTGAGTAGCGTGATGAACTCTCATGCAGCCCCACTCCATCCCACCCAGGATGTGAACGATCCCCTCGTTGAGTGTATCCACACTGTACATGCCACCTCCCAGTTATCAGATAGAGAAAACATCGTTTATAGAGGGCTCAGTCCTGGGCGCAGTTTCAGGCATCTGCTGGGATCTTGGGACGCATCGCCTGCAGATAAAGGGGAGCTACTGTACCTCATTCTCAGGCTCCTGAAGTGGCTGAATGAATTAATGTATACAAAGAACTTAGCCCAGAGTAAGTTTTCCATTCATGGGAGGCTAAAACTAAACAGAACAGCCGTGTGTAGCAGCCTGACACCAGTGGCTGAACCCCATGGTCTGTGAATGGTTTTGACTGAGTGGCATTCTCAGTCTAGGGCTAGAATCCAAAGCAGTGCCTTAGGTCTGTAAACACCTTTATTGATTCCCTTCATACATTTTAACTCCCTTTCTCTCTCTCTCTCTCTCTCTCTCGGTTAACTCCCTTTCCCTCTCTCTCTCTCTCTCTCTCTCTCCTTTTTAAGCTGCCATCCTTTTTTAAAGGATGTGTACATTTGCCAGAGAGAGAGTGTGTGTGAAAGGGCATCCTTTCAAAGGGGGCATGGTCAAACCATCATCCTTTTTCCTCCATCCGTCCTTCCCATAAGGATCTGGGATGCACACACCCATAATGAGTGACATGTTTTCACAGTTGGCTATGTGAGACCTGGCTCCTGATTAACAGTGTATAAAACCACAGTGCCAGGGGGCTGGCCCGACTTACTTGCCTTTACATAACCCCATGAGGTAGACATTATCTCTGTTTCGTTGTTTGACTTTTGCCATAGAGTGCACACACTTGGCAGAAAGAGAAGAGACAGAAAAAGCAAGAAATTACCTCCCTGGGGGGATGGATGGCCACACCACAATCCCGTCTCCTTTATTCTCCCCTCAGGATTTTGGGCACACATGGCATGCTCTTCAAGCCACTGGATTTGGGACTCCAACCACAGTCGCACATGTGGGATCCAGCACCTTAACCACCAGGCCACTTCCTGTTCCCACATATTAGCTCAGTTTTACAGATAGTAAAACTGAGAGCTGGGGCTCTGAAAGGACTTTACCTTGCAGGGACCACATGGTGAGTCCCCAGCTCACTGGTCATTGTTCTAGGGAGGGCACTCTATTGTCTAGAGCTGCCTGACATGCCAGTGGACGTCAGGACAGGCTGATCCTGTCTCAGGGCCAGCACAAGCACCTGTACCCAAACCAAAACGGGTGGGTATTTCCTGGACCAGCTGGGGTCAGGAATAAAGTGTCTGTTCCCCCAGTGACACCCAACCCTTTTGAACCCATATCTTCTGGGCCCTGGCAGCCATTGTATTTGTGACAAGATTGGTTGGGCAGATGGCTCTAGTCCTATATTTACCACCAGCCACCTGGGACTTGCAGCATAAGTTCCCAGAGTTCTGAGTTTCTCACTTGTAAAATGGGATTGAATGGTCCTTAGGTCCAAGGGTTGCAGGGAGGGCCCCCAGGAGATTAGCAGCTTCTACTGACTCAGCAGTTATGTCAGGAGGCGTGCTGGTCCCCTTGCTCGGTGCCCTGATGGTCACAGAAAACTCCAGACCCTCAGCTGAATCCTTACCAGTTACTGATTCTATTTATAGCATTTTTACTTCAGGTGAGGATGGGAGGTGTTTGCGAGAAAACTGAAGAACTGTGGCATCAAAAACAATTAACTTTAATTCATTTATTCAACAAACACACATTGTATGGCAAGTAGATACCAGAGGCTGAGGATTCAGGAACTAGGTCTAGGTAGGGTAAGATTTACTTCCCATCACTAGGTCAGAGAGGTAAAGTGAAAACCCAACGATGGAGGGAGTGAAAACAGAGCCTAGGGTTGGCTAAAAAGCTAAAATCATTGAGCAAAGACAAAAAATGAAGAACTGGGGCCAGCAGGTGGCATGGTCATTAAGTTGCTGGACTCCCACATGGCCAACTGCAGTTTGAGTCTTGAACCTGGTGGCTTGCTTGCTTACTCCCTTTTTCTCTCTGGTCAAATTGAAGAAGAAACAGAAGAAATTAAGAACTAAATTTTTTTTTTAAGGGAAGAACTGTGTAGATTCATGCCTCAATACATAAGAGAAATACACTTTTAAAACTGGTTTCAGGAGGATTTCTTTCAAGAGGATGCTAGAAATGTTACAATAAGGGGCCTTCAGGCAGGATGAATTATTTTTTTTAAAGAATATATTTTTTTAACTCCATTACTTATTTAATTTGACCAGAGAGGGACAGAGCCAGAGAAATTGAGAGAGAGAAAGTGAGAAAGAAAGCTACCAGTTCTGGGACTCGGACCGTGGTCGGCCATGTGGGAGTCCAGCACCCTTAACCACCATGCTGCCAGCCCCAGAATAAATTATTTTAATTGCAATTTAATAGTTCTCCTCCATGGGCAGATGGCATCGTGCTGGACTACCATACTACCATATGACTGACCATCGTTTGAGTCCCAGACCTGGTGGCCTACTTTGTCTCTCTCTTTTTTCCTCTGGTCAAGTTAAATATATATACATATATATATTTTTTTTTTCATATATATGTGTGTGTATATACACACATACACACATATACACACACATATATATACATATATATACACACACATATACATACACACACACACACATATATATATATATATATACACACACACACATATACATACACACACACATATATATATCCCCTAACATTTTATATTTTTAATCAGGCAGAAAGTCCAAAGAATGAACACTCACATATCCACCTCCTAGAGCCGACAATGAGTATTTTACTGCCCTAATTGCATTTTTTTAAAAACAGGAAGCTTCTCCCATGGCTGTTTCAAGTAGGGCTTTGGCCGCGGTCACCACAGTTGCCTGTTCACGGGGACAAACACACGGATGAAATGGAAGCATGGCAGGGAAGCGAGGGAGCGTGCCCGGGAATGTAACTCTCTGGGAATCTCAGTGAGTGGGAGGGGGGAAACGAAAACAAACAGAAAAGCTAACTGAAAAACAAAACTCTGGAGAAACAAGTCCTGCAGACTTCTTGGTCCGCGCTCTCCTGTGTGGTCTCCGCGGGTAACAGGAGAACGAGAGTCCCATGGCCGTTTTTGGCTGAAGGTCTCAGGGATCATCTTTCTCCTCCCTTTTGCAAAGGGTAGGAAAAGGCAGCGATGGCTGCCCGGGCGCCCGCCCAGCGCACAGGAACACAGACGAGAATCGCCAGGGCACCTCCGCCGGGACGCCCAGGCGGACCCAGCCTTCCGCAGCTAAGCAGCCCCTTTCGGTTCACCACGCTCCTCCGGGTTCCGCAGCCCGAGCCGGGAGGGAACAGCCCGCGAGCTGGGGTTGGAGTGCGTCCTGCGGCAGCTGCAGGCTCGGTCCGGCCCAGCTGTCCCCGCGCCTCCGGACTGCTGTCCCAGCCAGAGTGGACTCCGAGAGGGCCCAGCCTTTGCGTCCCTCCCCCGGGCCAGCGGGACCGAGCGCGCCCTTTGCATAAAAAGCCCTCCTCCCCGGCCAAGGTAGAGGAAGTGGGGCTCCCGCCTGGATGGGAGGCGGGAGGGAGCCCGCTTCTGTTGTTTTCCGCCAGCGGGAGTGGGCAGGCGGGTGCAGAGGGCGGGGTGCGCCCTCCCACCCCGGTCGGGCTCGAGAGGGGATCCGCGCCGCCAGTCTAGTGCAGTCTCCGGCACAGCACATCGGGCTCACAGCATCCTTCCTGGGGGCTTCGGAAGTGGGGTCACTCTGCAGTCCCAAAGACCTGGGAGGAATACTCGGTACCCCAGGGGCCAGGGCCCTGGGGCGCACACCCTGCCCAGGCGGAGCCTGCATTTCCCGAGCCGGGATCTGGAGCGAGATGGCCGCAGGCGGCTGGGCGCCCGAACCCCGCGTCCTCCTCTATCTTGGGGCGCTCCTGGCCCACTGGGTCGCCGCAGGTAAGGAGCCACGATCTGGAGAAAAAAGTAGAGTTTTTCCAGACAGCCGTGGGGAGGGGACAACGAGGGACCGAATTTCCTCCGACTCCACCCGAATCAGTGGTGGCCGCGGACGCGAAGCCGCTGGGGAGGGGTCCGAGGTTTCCTGCTCGCAGCTCGGCTCGCTTTGCGGGAAGGAATTTTCCCGGACTCTCGGTGGAGGGCGAGATCGCCCCAGCCTCCTGGGTGGGCAGCCGCTCAAGGCTGTGAACGGCCTCCGATATGTGTTGGGGGGAAATCAAGGCTACTGTAGAGGGGCATAGTGATTTTATTTTTAAGCCTCGGATGAAAATTCACGTTCTGGTTTTACCTGCTGTGCTGGTGTTCGGACTGGAAGCTTCCACTCGATTTTTCTCTCCTCCCTCTCACCATCCAACGTTGAATGCACCTGTAACCTGTGGATTTTCCTACACACCCCTGCAGGTCTGTCCATACCGGCCCAGTGCATTCATAAGCCATGCCCTCCTCCTTCAACTCTGTTTTTTGTAAAAAAAAAAAAAAAAAAAAACTTTTTATTTTGAAATAATTTCAGACTTTACAACAGATCTTCCCCTCACAAGGAACGTGGTTGACAGAAGGTCTTAAAGCTTCAATTGTAAAGAGAGGGTTGCTTACAAAAATATGTAGAATGTGAAAAGATTGGAAAACATTTCTGGATTTCATTACTCAGCGAATGCATGTCTGCTGTGTGCTATGAGTGTGACAAGCGGGAAGAAGAGAGAAAACTGGGTGGAGGGACAGGAGATAGAGCCAGGAGGCTTGTAGTTTGCCAGGATGAAGGCGGGTCATTGTGCTACTTTCCTTGTTGCTCAGTCCAGCCCACCCAGCTGGACTTCCCCACATGGGTTGTAAATTGCATCTGAGCTTCCTAGCAGCAAGTGCCAAAAGTTCTTAATTGTTAGGCTCCCACAAATTTTTGTTTTATTTTTAGCAGTAATTTAAAAGCATTTCTTGCTATCTAAATTTCGAGTTTATCTGGAATAATCTGAAGGGCTAGCCACACAGGGCCTTCCCACCTTGAACTCCACAGTCACCATCTTCTTTTATCCTGGGCATGTGATCCCAAATTTGTTCCACCTCTTCCTATTGTAGTACTGACCCCTCGCCCTCTTCAGTCCGTGGACATTACCTGCTGGCTCCTCCAGGCATTTTAAGTAGTGATCACTTTGCTGGGGGTGAGGGAGGAAGAACACTTCCCCACTGCCCATTTCCAGAAGTTAAAGGCAGGACCAGACGGGGGCATTGCAATGTAAAAGGCTATGCCCTGGGTGGCTGACCTACACCAGAGGCTGCTGGTTCACATGGTGGAGGTTTCCCTGCGTGCTGGGCACATGTGTCCTCATGGTCTGGGCTGACTGGGGAGTGAATTGCAGGTGGAGACACTGTTGGAGATGCCTTCTGTCTGTCTCTCTCTCTCCATCTCTCTTGTTCAAGACTGGGGGGAGGGCGCATTTCCTTCCCCCCAGCTGCCTGCAGTATTTCCCTTGCTGTGTACATCCGGGGCTGGGGGACATCTGAACCCTGGGCTGAAATCATCGTGCTGGAATGCAGACTGACTGCTCACCACGTGGAGAACTACTTCCACAGCCTTGCCAATTGTTTCTGAAAAAAATAAAAAAGTTTATTTATAAAATATAAATTTTTTACTTTTATCAAGTTTATTTCTTCTGAGAGAGAGAGACAGACAGGATCCTCATGCCATGATTCATCCCTGACCCTAGCCAGCATGTACAACTGGCATGCTCAGGGAGGTCTCAGTACTCAAACCCAGGACCCTTCCCATATTGAGTCCAGTTGTATTTCCGCTGAGCCACCACCTGGCCTATTCTTGCATGCCCAACTGTTCTGAAGGCTAATTCCAACTCACCTTTGTGTGTAGTGCCAGGGACTTTCTGAGCTTGTCATATCTTCGTTGTTTGTTTTTCAAGTTGGGAGTTGTCTTGGCAGAAAATAATAATGATAATAATAAAGATCTTTCTTCTGACAGTAAACTCCAGATGACCTCCATGCTTCTGCTTGTCACCTCAGGATATAAACCCAGATCATTCCTGAGAAAAGTTCCTAGGAAAAAAATTAACATTTGGGTCTGGCTCTGAGTCTAAATAATAGTAAAAGGGGCAGGATCAGTGGAGTTTATGTTACTCCCTGCTTTGTTCCATATTTTGAATTTAAGGTTAAAGGACAACAGGGGACCTTCTGGCCGTGCAAATCACTTTTCATAGCATAAACTGTTACTATATTTTAGTGTCTCACTGCCCGGCTTAGGAAACCAGAGTAAGTCTTGTGACCTGGAACACTCGAGACCTGAAAGACAATACCACACCTTCCAGTGACTTGCATGGGACCTTAAATATTTCACGGAAGCTTCCCGAACCTCCATATTCTCAACAGTGAAATAAAGAGGTATAGAGCTATAAGGTATGGGGATAGTATATCTTCAAGGACCACCCCTTCCATGTCCATGTCAGACATCACTAATCAAAGACTGTGTTCTCCACTGAGCCCCAACTCAACCCTATCTTCAGCCCAGTTCTTCGGACAGCCATAGCTCTGGATTAGATGATCTCTAAGGTCACCTTCAGCTTTGGTAGTTTAAAAAAAAAAAAAAGAGCACGCAAAGCCAGGAGGGGAAGTGAAATACCTTCAAATGGTTTATTTTGTGATCATGTCATCCTACTCCTTGGAGGAGAAGACAATGTTAGCTCAAGTTCCAAGATTAAAGTTTCACTAGGGCTTTTCCAAGCCTCCATTCCTTTATTCCTTTGCCAAAGTCAGGGAAGGGGCAGGTCTGAAGCTCTCATGAACACACCTAGCATCTGTTTCTCTGCCTCCTCTGAGTGAGGAGTGCCACCTGAGAGCTTGGGTTCTCAGGCCCAATTGTTTAAAAACTGTCCTCCCTTGCTTCTTAAAGTGATGGTGCAGAAGCATTTATTGCTGTTTTGGAATTGTCAGCATTAGATGGCACCTATGCCTTTCAGTGAGTGACTTTTTAAAATTTTTTATTCCTTCAATTTAATTTAATTTTTAAATTATTTTTAAAATTATTAATTTTATTTATTATCATTATTATTTTTTAAAATTTCTCTCTCTACTCAGAGAGAACAAAAGGGAAAATGAGAAAGCAAACCTCCAGGTCTAGGACTTGAACTGCAGTTCAGCCTTGTAGGAATCCAGTGCCTTAATCACAGTGCCTCTTTGCTAGTCCCTGTTCTTTTATTTTTTTTCCCTCCTGTCTTTGGAGAATGACCTGGCCAAGGTAGAGAGGGGCCAGGCAATGGCACAATGGTAATGCAATTATATTAAAAAAGAGAAAATGAGAAAGCAAACCTCCAGGTCTAGGACTTGAACTGCAGTTCAGCCTTGTAGGAATCCAGTGCCTTAATCACAGTGCCTCTTTGCTAGTCCCTGTTCTTTTATTTTTTTTCCCTCCTGTCTTTGGAGAATGACCTGGCCAAGGTAGAGAGGGGCCAGGCAATGGCACAATGGTAATGCAATTATATTCACAACTGAGAAGGGTCCTGGGCTCACATACTGGGGCCTCCCTGAGCACACCTGCTGGTGATCACAGCAAGAATACCCTGTTGGGTTGCTCTCCTCTCTCTCTCTCTCTCTCTGTTTCTCTTATGGAGAGACTTAAACAAACAATAAAACAGAGATGTTGAGAGAACTTCCTGTAGCTCTGGGGTGGCTTCAGATCTTTCAAAGAGAGTTCTTTCTAAACAGACGGAAGCCAAATACAGGTGGCTACTCTTCCTTTTCTAAATGAGAAGGATTCCCAGAGGCAAGGGGCAGTTTGTTATTTTTAAAGAACAGCTTTATTGAGGTACAGTTTATATCTCCTAAAATTCACCTTTTTAAAATATATAGTTCAGTGGTTTGTTGTATAGTTGTAAGGTTATTCCTGTCCCTCTGGTCTCTATTTGGGTGTTGATTGTGGAGGAGGCTAGGGAAATCTGAGACTTCTCAGCAAAATGGGCTACCTCTGCTTCTTGATACCTCTTTTTGTAAAATATTTATTTAGACTTATGTATTCATTTATTTTAATTTGACCGGAGAGAGAGAGAAAGAAAGCGAGAAAGCAAGTCTCCAGGCCCAGGACTACGAACCACGGTTAGCCATGTGGGAGTCTAGCGCCTTAACCACCACACCACCTGCTGACCCAGCTTCTTGTTACCTCTTGTCCATTTTATGCCAGATCAGTTGCCTTTTAGCATCTATGAACCTTGAGTGAACATCAGAATCACCTGAACAGCTTGTTTCAACAGAGGGTTTGCTCCCAGCCCCACCAGTCTCTGATTGAGATATTCTAAGGTAGGGTCTGGTCATTTGCATTTCTAACTTTGCTGCTGGTCTGAGCTTTTTGGTTTTTTTTTCCCTTCCCTTTTTTAAAGGTGAAAAAAATGTGTATTTAGAATTAGCTGACTGGACTCAGTTTAGGTGATTCCAGTTTTGTTGGCAGCATCCAAAGCATCATAACCAGGAGCCAGTCGCACAGAAGCCTTCTCTCCTTCAGGCCAGATCAGGGTGTTGACCTTGGCCACGTCAATATCACAGAGCTTCTTCACAGCCTGTTTGATCTGGTGCTTGTTGGCCTTGACGTCCACAATGAACACAGAGTGTTGCTGTCCGTCTTCATGGCTGTGGTCTGGTGGTGGTGGTGGGGGGTACTTGACAATGGCACAGTCCATCAAGCTATTTCCCCCGGTTGGGGGCACCCTTCAGGGAATATTTGAGATACCTCCAAGCCATAGTATCTTAGGCTGCTGAAAGGTGGGTGGTATGTGGTGCTCCTTTTTTGGGGGGTGGGGTAGTAGCTGTAAATACCTTTCAGCACCACTCTTTTTGCCCTTCAAAGCCTCTACTTTGGCGTCAGCTTTGAGAGGGGCAGAAGTGTCCTTCGCTTTGGGCACCATCTTGGCAAAAAGGGTCTCTCGGGTCTGTTCTGCAGGCTTACAGAGTCAAATCCCCCCCAAGACTCTGTAGATGCTTCCTCCTTGGAGCTGATTGTTAATCTGTGGCGTAATCTGGTCTGGGTTTTTGAACGTGCCATTCCTTTGGGAATCTGATTCTCACTTTTACCTGGCTTATCCCTACCCAGTTGTCAGATCTTTGGCTTCCTGGAGGAAGTCTCATAGGAGCCCCAGCTGAACTTTGGAGCCTTTCCCTGACGCCTTATCTTGGTGTAATTGCTGCCTTACTGTCTTTTCCCCTAGACTGTGAACTCCTGGAGATTTCTGTCTGTTTTGTTCACCATGGGAACCCCAATGCTTAGAACAGGGCCTGCCCCAAAGTGGGCGCACAGTCAGTGGTCTTAGCCTGTTCTTGCATAGAGCTGCTAAGCCAGCACTGACTCCAGGGTCATTGGGACCTGAGCTGGAGACTGAAAGAGAGACCAGTAGGAGAACAGAAAGAACGCCTCCTCTATATGCCCCTCTGAATTTCTAGGTATATAAAACATTTGGTTTATATCATGTATTTATAGCCACAAAAATGCTGTTTTAACAGACAACCCCAAAACCAAAGTTGTGCATAAGTACTGCACACAGGCCTGGGGTGGTTGGTAGGGTGGCTCTGCTGATCTTGCCTGGCCTCACATGGCTGGAATGAAGATGGGCTGGCTCAAGGCCCATCTAGAATGGTCTCAGCTGCAGTTTCATCCTCCCTCTGGAAACTGGGAGGGTCATGTTCTTCTCACAGTGATTGGCAGAGGATGAAAGTAAATAAGCCCAGTGATGCAAACACTCACCCCCCCCCACTTTTCTTTTAATTGTAAAATACACCTAGCACAAAATTTCCCGTCTTAAGTGTGCAGTTCAGTGGCAGTGAGTACATTCATAATCCAGAGCAACCGTCATCCATCTTCAGAACTTTTTCCTCCAATCACATTGAACTGATCACTGTCACTAAGTAGAGTTGTGCGACCATCCATCTCCTTGACTCTTTTATCTTATGAAAGTGAAATGTCCCCGTTCAACGATCTCTCTCCCTTTTTGCCTTGGCAAACACCATTCTACTTTCTGTCTACGAGTTTGAGTCTAACTACCTCATAATAAGTGGAACAAAGCCATATCTGTCTTTTTTGTGGCTGGCTCATTTCACTTAGCACAGTGTCCTCCAGGTTCATCCATGTTGTAGCAGATATCAGAATTTCCTTCCTTTTTTAAGGTGGAATAACAATCTGCTATATCTGTATAATGTTTTTTGTTGACCCATTTTTCTGTCAGTGGACACTTGAATTACTTCCACCTTTTGGCTGTTGTAAAAAATGCCATGAACAAATATCTCTGAGCCTCTGCTTTCTGTTCTTTTGGCTATATATATAAAAGTGGAATTGCTGCATTACATGGTAGTTCTATTTTTAATTTATTAAAATAATTATTTATTGGGAACCTGCAGTTAGCGTAATGGCTATGTCGCTGGACTCCCACATAGTCGACCGTGGTTTGCATCCCGGACCCGGTGGCTTAGAACTCACGCCGGGCGCGTGTGCGTGCGTGCCCAAGATCCCGAGAGGAGAGTGGAGGAGAAGGGATTGCGGTGTGACCATCCCCCCTGGGGGGTGATTTCTCGCTTTCTGTCTCTATGTCTCCCTCTCTCTGTCTGGCGAGCGCACGCGCCCTATAGCAAAAACCTCTCCCCCAAGCTGCCAGGTCTGGGACTCGAACCTTGGTCCACTATGTGGGAATCCAGTACATTAACCACCATGCCACTTGCTGACCCCTATTTTTTTTATAAAGAATTATTTAATTTTATTCATTCATTTATTTTAATTTGACCAGGGAGAAACAACGAGAGAGAGAGAGAAGGAAAGTGAGAAAGCAAGCCACCAGGTCTGGGACTCGAACCATGGTTGGCCACGTGGGAATGTGCCTTAACCACCGTGCCACCTGCTGGCCCTGGCCCATTTTTAATTATTTACTACCAATCACACTGTTTTCCACAGTGGCTGCACTGTTTTACATTCCCACCTACAGTGGACAAGTGTTTCAGTTTCTCCATGTCCTTGCTCACATTTGCTATATTTTTTCATAGTAGCCATCCTAATGTGTGAGATGGTGTCTCATTGTGGTGTTGATTTGCATTTCTCTAATGATCATTCACAAGCACTTTTTAGACCTCTGCTTACATCACACTTGCTATTATTCCATTGGCCAAAGCACATTACAGGGCTGAGCCCAGAGTAAGAGTGGGTGGCCCTGCAGTGACACAGTGAAGGCATGGACAGTGGGGGAATGGGCAGGAATTGGGGCCCTATCTGCAGTACACCACATGTTTACTAGTATCAGTGACTGGCCAAAAATTTCTGCAGGGTGGAGCCCTTTATGCTATCACATCTTAAATACACATACCTGATTTTTTTTTTCAATCCAAATGCAGAGGGACAGTCAGAAAGGGAGATTGTTCAGAAATTAAGAAAGGTTGTGGGCCAGCCTGTGGCATGATGGTTAAGGCAACTGTATCCCACATGGCCAATCACACGGTTCAAGTCCTGAATCTGGCAGCTTGAGAAACATGCCAGGTGTTGGGGCCAGCAGGTGGTGTGGTCGTTAAAGGTGCTGACTATTGTTCCAGTCCTGGACTTGGAGGCTTGATTTCTCACTTTCTTTCTCTCTTTCTCTCTCTAGTCAAATTGCAAAATAAATAAATAGCAAATGGAATTAAATAAGCAAATAATTCTTTTTTAAAAAAAAGAAAGAAAGAAAAGAAACATGCCAGGTATGTGTGTGTGTGCATGCCCAAAATCCTGAAAGGAGGATGGAGGAGAAGGGATTGTGGTGTGGCCAACCCCTGTGGTACTTTCTTACTTCCCTCTCTCTCCCCCTCTCCCTCTCTCTGTATGTCTCTTTCTGGTAAGTGCACATATTCTGTAGTAAAAAAGAAAAAAGAAAGGTGGTGGCACAGTGGTAACACAACTGGACCCACATGAGAAAGGCCCTGGGTTCGTGTCCCAGGATCTCCCTGAGTGTGCCAGGCATGCGTGTACTTGTGATCCAGGCTGCTGAGCTGGGTCATGGGATAGGGACGCTGTTGAAATGCTTGCCTCGGTCTCTGTCTCTTTCAGTTTCAAAAGAAAGGTTGTAACTGCTCAACCTTCCCTTGTACAGGATTGGAAGATGTCGTCATTGGAGAAGTTCACGAGAATGCGACCCTGCACTGTGGCAACGTCTCAGGACCGAGGGGGATGGTGACCTGGTACCGGAATGACTCGGAGCCTGTCCTCCTCCTCTCCTCCAACTCTAGCCTCCCGCCAGCCGAGCCTCGCTTTTCTCTAGTGAATGGCAGCTCCCTCCACATTGAGGCCCTGAGCCTGCAGGATGAAGGGAACTACACCTGCCAGGAGATCCTGACTGTGACCCGGTGGTTCCGGGTGTGGCTGCGGATGGCCAGTAAGTCAGGTGGTTGGGGCTGGGGCTGGAGAGACGCTCAGAGCCTTGCACAGGGAGAGGCCGTAGTCAGGAGCAAGGGTTCTGGGACCGTGTGGCCTTGATTTCATTCTGGGCTCTGCCACTTGCAGGCTGAATGATGTCTTGTACCTGTATTTCCTCACCTGAAAAATGGGGATAGAAAGGATTTTTGCCTCGTATAATTGCTGTGAAGAATAGATACCAGTTTATAAAATGCCTTAAATGGCTCTATTAGTTTGCTATTATTTAAAAAAAAATTATTTTTGAAATGTTTGTGTTTATTTATAAGTTTATCTCCTCCATGAGCAAGAGAAACAGAGATAGCATGCACCCTCAACAGGTTCTTGTCACTGCAGTCCCTCTCCCCAGCTTCTGCCAGCTCTGGGTCTTGGGCATGTGCATGCCCAGTGTAGTTAGGGAGATACGAGATGCAGACCCAGAACCTTCTTGTGTGGGTCAGCATTACAGAGCATCGTGCCTTACCACTGGACCACTATCTGGCCTCATGTCATCCTTGCTATTAATGTCATTTTATAGTGTAACAGTTAAACTATAACAGTGGAGTTGGGGCAGGCAGGTGGCATGGCGGTTAAGGTGCTAGACTCCCACATGGCCGACCAGGGTTTGGGTCCCAGACCCTTAGGGTACATGCACCCAGTGGAGAGAGAGACAGAGACAATGAAAGAAAGTGAAAAATCATCTCCCTCCATTCTCCTTCTGGGATCTTAGGCACACATGCACACGTGCCCAATGTGAGCTTCAAGCCTCCAGGTCCAGGATTCTAACCACAGTCAGCCATGTGAGAACAACGTAACTGCTACACCATGTGCTGGCCCCAAAAATAATTCTTAAAAAAAAGGGAGTCAGGCCACCTTACTTCCAGTCCTAAGGCTATCGCTCAGCTCTATGTCACCTTCAGTGAGTAGCTTAATATCGCTGAGCTTTAGTTTTCCTCATTTTTTTAACTGAGGTTAATACACTGCATGCGCGTCGGGGATAGTGAGCATGCAGTACTCGTAGTGGCATGAGCTCCTAAAACAGTCTATTGTATCCACAAGGAGGAGTTTAGAGCAACAATTTTTTTCTTCCATAGGGTACATCTATTCACAGGAGAGAGACAGAGGGAAAGTGGGAAATCATCCCCCAGCGGGGATGGCCACACTGCAATTTCTTCTCCTTCATTCACTTCTTGGGATTTTGGGCACACACACACCAAGTGTGATTTTCAAGCTGCTGGGTTCAGGACTTGAACTGCAGTCAGCCATGTAGGAGTCCAGTGCCCAAACTACTACGTCACCTCCTGGCCCCTGAAAGCAGCAATTTGCAAACCGTAGCCTGTTGACCAAATCTAGCCTGCTGCTTATTTTTGTATGGCCTATAAGTTATGAATAGTTTACATTTTTTAAGTTTATTTATTTTCTGGTAATAAAGAATGCATACATGAGCATGAGTGAGAGCAAGAGAGAAACACCCTCCACAGGATCTCATCATGACGCTATTCCTTTTCTCTGGCCCTCCAGCTCATCAGGATCTCCGTTACGTGTGCACGCACCTGGTGTATTTCCAGGCCAGCCCAGGGAGCCAAACCCATAGTGGGCCCTGGGGCTTCCTGCATGGCAGTTGAGCTTGCTACCTACTACACCACCAGGATGGGCGGCTTTACATTTTTCAACAGCTGAAAAAGTCAGAAGGGGCTGACCCCACAACCTAAAGGGTCAGGGAGCTAGATCCCATGTTGCCGACTGCAGTTCAAGTCCCAGCCCTGGCAGCATGCCCATGCTCTCTTTCTCTGTCTCTGTCTCTCTCTCTCTGGTGAGTACACCCACCCTCTGGCAATTAAAAAACAAACAAACAAATAAGGAATGCCAAGGATTGGTGGCCACCACCAAAAGCTAAGAAAAGGCAGGGAAGGATCATCCCTTAGAGTCTTGACTTCAGACTTTTAGCCGCCAGAACTGTGAGAGAATGGCGTATTGTTAACAGCCCTAGGAAACTAATACCCAAGGTCAGCAATTGGGATTTTATTCCAGATGGCAGGAGAAATTGCTGGAGTGTCAAGAAGGGGTGTGGCATCTCATGGAAGAGAGCTGATAAAGTAACAATGGGGAAGCCAACAGAAAGTACAAGGTGGTGGTGATCAGACCCGGGAGGTGGCAGTGGCCTTGGTGAAACTGCACAGGTGTAGGATATATTTTTAGATTGAACAGCAGGATTTGTTGGAGGATCAGAAGGGGGGGATAGGGACCAGCCAAGTGGTGTACACTCTTTTTTTTTAAGAGAGAGAGAGATTTTTGCTAAAGGGCACATGTGCTCACTGGAGAGACAGACAGAAAGCCTAAGGTACTGCCTAAGGTCGCTAGATCCCACATGGCTAACAGTATGGTTTGGGTCCCGGACCCAGTAGCTTGAAAACCATGCTGTGTACATACCCAAAATCTTGAGAGGAGGGGCTAATAGGTTATATGGTAGTTAAGGCGCTGGACTCCCACATAGCCGACCATGGCTCAAGTCCCAGACCTGCGGTTAGAAACTTATGCTGGGCACGTGTGCATGCATTCCCAAAGCCCCAGGAGGACAATGGAGAAGAATGGATTGTGGCATGGCCATCACCCCTGTGGGGGTAATTTCTTACTTTCCCTTTCACTGTCTTTCTCCAGCAAGCATATGTGCCCTATGACAAAAACCTAAAAACAAAAATAAATAACTTAAAAAAACCTGGAGAGGAGAATGGAGAAGTGATTGTGGCATGGTCATCCCCTCTGGAGGGGCCTTTTTGCTTTCTCTCTGGCAAGTATGCATGCCCCATAGCAAATTTTTAAAAAGAAAAGAAGAGAAGTAGAAGATGAAGAAAAGAGAGGCCTCAAAGACATGTCTAGATTTTTATTTTTTATTTCTGGAGGACAAGTGTGCTTACCAAAGGGAAAGGAGAGGGAGAGAACACCCTCCCCCCTTCCCTCACCATGGGGCATGGTCATACCACAATCTGTTCTCCATTTCTCCATCTTGTCAGGATTTAGGGCACACAGATGTACCCTGAATGTTTTTCAAGCAGCTGGGGCCAGGATTTGAACTACAGTTAGCCATGTGGGATCCAGCTCTCTTAACCACTAGACTTGAAGGCCAGCCCAGCATTTTAGGTTTTCGGGTATCTCCAAGGTCTACTCAGAGCTTATGGAGTCCATGAACACAAGTGTTTCTGTGTCTGGAGATGCCATAGATGAATTCCCAAATGGCTGGGGATATGTTAAAAAAAAAAAAAATTTATGTCACACTCTTTTTTTTTAAGAGAGAGAGAGATTTTTGCTAAAGGGCACATGTGCTCACTGGAGAGACAGACAGAAAGCCAGAGATCATCCCCTAGAAGGGATGGCTACACCACAATCCCTTCTCCTCCACTCTCCTCTTGAGATTTTGGGCACACATGCACATGTACCCGGTGTGAATTTTTAAGCCACTGAGTCTGGGACTTGAACCATAGTCTACTACATAGGAGTCCAGCGACGTAACCATTACTCCATCTACTGGTCCCTAAAATGTCACTCTCTTGACCCAGCTGTCTGGTTGACACTGTGAGCTTATGAGCAAGTGCTGGCTAGTTTCCCTCACTCTAGCTGCCCAATGAAAATTAATAATTCCTTCATATCATTTTTATCCATGCATATCTTCCCTCTCACTCTCTTTTATTTATTCTGTAAGACAAAGACAGCCAGACACACAGAGAGACATGGAAATAGTACCTCAACAGGATCTTCATGTCATGGTCCATCCCCGCATCCTGGCTAGCCCAGATCATAGACACACACATGTCTGATATATAGAGAGGTCTCAGGATGCAAACTGAGGACCTCCCCATGTGGATCCAGTTGCATTACAGTTGCACCACTGTCTGGCCCTAAATATCATCTGTTTTGACCACAGCAGAGGATAATGGTGTCACAACTTTCTGTTTTTCTATCTTTTGCTCTCCAGTTTATGACAACTCAATTTGACACTGATTTATTAATCATTGGCTAAAGTTATTGGGGGATAGATTAGTTTCCCTATTGCTTTATACGGAGATAAATGTAAGGTCTTGATAGCGTGAAAGTGAACTTTCACTTAATTTTTTTTTTTTTTTTAATTGTCAGTAAAGTCAAATAGCACTTAGCACTCCCTGAAGGGAAGTCTTGCATGCACCTGGGTCGCTGCAGTGTGATTTATGTGTGGAGATGGCTTCATTTGGAAATAGACGGGGTCTCCCTGAGTGGTGTAGGGCTTGTTTGTGAAAATAGAACACAGACACCATGTAGTTCTCTTTACACCAAAGCCCTCTGGGATATAACTCTTTGTTCCTATTCCAGAAGGGCCCTGGGTAAAACCCTGGATCCCTTCTGGCATCAGGGAGCCCTTTCCTGCTCCTCAAACTGTGACTTTCAGGGAGAACTGGGCATCTCTGATTGGAACTTGGCCCTCATTTTTGCATAGGAGATTTGGAAATACGTATAAGGCTTGATTCAGCTGCTTTCTGGGAGGGCAGTGTTATTGCCGAATGGCTGAGAGCAGATACTCTGAAGTCGAGCTGCCTAGGTGCAAATCCAGGTCCTTCTGGCTCTTCCTTTTGTGACCTTGGGGACATCCCCTGGACCTCGCTAACCTCATCTGTGAAATCACAGTTAATGGTAGAACCTAGTCCCATATTTGTGGCATGCGTTGATGAGATAAACTTGTGCCCTCAGAGTGCGCTTGGTCTTTGTTTCCTCAACCCATTGGTTAAGTTGGTGACAGGGTTTCTATGGGAAAATAAATCTCAAGTTCCTAATAGTCAATTTATATCTGAGCCTTTCAAACACGACTTGCTGTGGGTCAGGGACTCAGGTCTTTGCCGTTTCCCATCTATTCACTGATACTGACATGTGGTTGATAACTAGGCCACATGTCCTCCTTCTCTTAAGGAGAACAGTTTGGAAACATTCCGACATGGCCTTGGAAGCTAGGGAAAAGCA